AATATCTTTCAGTTATATTTACATAGGCTCAAGACTCACTCAATTTGGAGTTCTCTATCTCAAGTTATGCCCATTTTTCTACAACATGTTCTTGCTTAGTGAATATGACAACACCGCTGTCTTAACTTCATGACCAATTTAAACTACACAAACATTAAAATTGTATTTTGACTCTCACATTAAATTTTTATCTTACAGTCTTATCTTTTCAAAACACTTGAGAATGGGCCAAACTGATATCTGTAACTCCAGATATGGCTGAATTTTCGAAGCAAGTTTGAAATTCGTAATAGTACTTCCCCAAGGACTTTGGGAACGATTTACAACCCATTAACCACCAAATCAGAATTCAAACCCTTATTAAAGTTGTAGGTATACTTCTAAGCATTTCAAAATACTAAAGTATGTTCAAATCCATGGTCTACAACTCAAGATATGGACAAAATATGAACTGTGTTTAATCAGAAAAATCACTGTTACAATTTTGTTTTCCCTTCTTTTAACAAAAATGAAGAACTCCATTTTTTCTTTGCAAAAAGGGTTGTACAATCATCTCTCAAGATTATTTCAACACTTAATCAATGTTTCCTCATGTCATAAACATATAAACCATCTCAAGACTCAACCTTTTACCTACATCAGCGATTTATCATGAAAATCTAAAGAAAGTTCACGTCTTTCTTACCAAGAAGCTTCACCCAAGCAAGAACTAGTGTCCAAGCTTTCAACAATGGAGGATTGTCACTCTCAACACTAAAACCAGCAATCAAAACTCCCCAAGATGGGGTTTTTCTCCCTAAAACTCTATACTTTAGGTTGTTTTCATTAGGGGTAGATGAAAGGTGAGAGATTGATGATTGCTCTTGCTAATTTCAAAAGAAAAGATGAAACTCTATGTGAGAAGAGAGGAAGGGGGCGTACATAAAGGAGAGGGGCTGCTGGCTAATGTCTTGAAAAATGAGAAAATGAAAATGAATGGTGGGGTAGTGTGGGTCTAGGTCATATTAGTGAGTGCCCCCTTAACCAATGGTTAATTACTCACCTAGTACTCACTTAATCATTGGTTTATCCCATATGTTCCGGTTACTTTTGCCTACTGCAATTTTTATCGCGAAACACGCAGTCTCCACACTTTTTACAGAAAAGTGATTTAATTTAAATAATTTAAATAGTTTAAACTTTCTTCTCATTATCCTTTTTTAATAAATAATTTCCTAAAATCGTATTTTATTTTTAATTTTCGGGTAATTTGCCTACTCTCAGTTTTACCCCAAAGTGACACTATTCACAATTATTTCAAAATCGCAGCAGGAAATGCTATTAGAATGGTAGCGGATCAAGGCATGCAACGAGCAGAAGTCATGATAAAAGGTCCCGGTCTCGGAAGAGATGCGGCATTAAGTATTTTTATTTAAGTTCTTTTCTTTCTAAGAGGTGGAATAGAATAACCCGGTTGAAGCGTAATGATCATACGTCTGTAATGGTGATTTAATTTCAAATAATTAAATCTCCCATCTAATAATTCTCTTTTAATTATTATTAAATTTCTAAAATTTCAATTTAACGGATCGGATTCTTATAATAAATATAATATGTAAGATAGAATATTTACATTATCCTTCTTGCTTGATGAATGAGAGTGAATACCTCTCTTACGTACGGTGGCTGCCCAGAGTTTCCAAAGACGAAGGTTTAGAATTTTCCCCTTAATTATTGAACACAGTACTCAGTTGGTCTAAGCTTGCATGCAATGCAAACTTTGTACTCTTAACCTCTTCTGTAGTTATTCATTCTCGATAGTTATTGGGAAAACTTAAGTACGCGCGGATACTAATCTGTGAATTAATGAATGTTCAAGGCTTGAGTTAAAAATAAAATAAAATAATCAGGCATCAACTAAAATAAAAGAAAATAGAAATCTATCAAAATAGAAATCTATCAATATCTTTTCCTTTTAGTCGTCATGTAATCATCAAACGCAAGGAACTAATGATATATAAAATATTAAAAAACAGAGCATGTAGTCATACAGAAACTTTTGAAGTTGGGATATATCTCATGCATTTATTAATATAAATAACTGAACGTTATAACTTAGAAGAAATGTATATAACTCTACGAAGTTGAGTGCTTAGAAAGATTAATTTGTCCCGGTGCATAGCGGCGAGCTATGATGTATTGACAATTCAAAAAACTTAATGTGTTGTGTCCGACACTTTTCAACACTCTCTGACTCTCTGATACTACTCCCCAACACTGTATATTAATTAAAAATATTATTTCATATCAAAATATATCTTAACGTGTCGAAATATAATATTGTTTAGAATTAAAGTGTCGAAGTGTTGTGTCATGTCGAATCCCGCGCGTGTCCGGCTGTGTCAGTGTCGGTACAACATAGGTGGCGAGTGAACTTGTTTTGTTCTTTTGTTTTTGTATCAATCCATTAATATTTATTTTAGAGAAAATTATTTGTCCTTTTAAAGGATATAAATTTATGTCCTTTCACCCACTTATAACTATGTACTTCAGAAAAAGCATAGATATAATATTAATTTTTTTTATCTCTTTCCAGAAACTTATCGACTGACATGGAGAAAGAGAAAAAAATAACTTTCATATTATAATTATGTTCTCCTTGTAGCACATAGTTATAAGGAATGAAATGATATAAACCTATATCCTTTAAAATGACACACATTAAACCCATTATTTTATCATATATATATATATATATATATATATATATATATATATATATATATATATTTCACGTCTACTCCAAGAAATATTAAACCAGGGTCCATACAAATAATGATAGGGAAATAAATAATGTTTCAAAACGTTTACCTTCTTCCGATGATGTTGATCTGATTGAGACACTTGTTTCAAAAGTTGTCGCTAAAACAAGTATTGTTCTTTATTCTAATATAGTTTATATTAGGAAAAAATATTTCTCAAGCACCTTGAGATAAGTTTATCTCCGGTCACTCTAAAATTACGTTGTTTTATTTATTTATTTATTTATATTAATTGATTCACTTTTGAATGATTATGATTTTCTTTTTCTCTCTCTTCCTTTATCACCATTGATCCATTTTTTGTACGGTTATGATTTAGTAGTCGGAGATAAAATTATCTCAAGCAGCTTGAGAAACGATAAGCCCTTATATTATTCAACTATTCGTCCGTACATCTTTGTTCTTGCTTAATTGTTTTCACAAGAAATCAATAATTACAAGCCACGTTACAAATTATTTAAAATTACATTGAGAATGATCAATCAATTATCATTCTATTCATATTTTCTTATACACCCTTAGGTTTTTTGGGCTTAATGGGAGGATATTATATAGGTTTATTTTTTTTATTCTACTTTAATTCTACTGGAAAGTGAGGGTGTGATGATGATTGAGCTCGTAACCCCATAATTACGTAAGTTTTAATACCATATGTAAAACAACCAATTCAACCCAATAACTTAACTTGATAAGTGAAGACTCATCAATGATTTTTTTTTTTTGTAAATCTTAAAAACTTAAATATTCATAACAAAAAAAAAATGATGGATGGAATATTGAAGTTAATGGATGTACTCATACAAAAAAAAAAAAAAAAAGTTAATGGATGTAATGTCATCTCATCACCAGAAATTCTTAGGTACCAGAAAAGCAAGAGATTTCGATTTGCTGATTGGCTCTATACCATTGAATGTGTACTACCTCAATTGTGATATTAAAAGTATGGGTTTCTCACCTGCAGCGAGAACAGATAAATTTTTTTTGCAGTAAATATATTTACACCAGACGTGTATTGTTGCAAAATTTCTTATATGCAATAATATAAGAAATATAGTTGCCTAAAAATATAATCAAAATGTGAGTCAGTAATTATTCATATAACTGAAATGGAACTTCTCCAGTGGTATATATATTGTAAGAGAACTCTCTTACTCCAAGAACACCTAAAAATATGACATACTAATTATGTGCTCTTATCCCCTACTTATGAACCCATTTAAGCTGAAATGTTGATGTGATCTAAAAACAAATAATCTTCTAATCAAATCATTAATTAATTTGGAGTGGATGGATGAATAGCGATGTGGAGTAGTGGAAGAAAGTGAATGTTCAACCTTAGAGGGAAAATATGTTTCGCTATATGGACCGATGAAGAGGTTCTGATATGTATCACTAGAGCTCAACACTTCAGCTTAAGTGTCAAATGCTCAGGAAAGCGTGATAAATGGCGAAACAAAGGGTAATAAAAGTGAAAAGATATTGAGTGATAAAATAGTCTTGAGATAGGGTAGAGTATTAGGCAAGTTGAGCCCAATATACTCATCCATACAAGTACATTATTATTACTAATTAAGTTGACTTGAATGAAGCTAAATTATATTAGTTGAATGCTTACGTTTATGAATAACTTGACTTTCCCAATATTATATTCAATCTAAATTTATTACATAACTTGTAATTATATAAGTAAAATAAAAATCTCTTTTCTAAAAGCAAGAGTTATAAATATTCTTACGCAAACACATGCGGGATGCGGTGGCTAAAAGGCAGACTAATTTTGTATTTTATTTTGCCAAAGATAAGAATGGGAATGGAGGCTTAATTAGTTACCCTACTTATGCCTGGCCACCTATCATTCCTATAATTCATCCAAAATTCTATTGTTGAAGATTGCAGCATCAATTCCTGTTATACCAATAACTTCATTTTTCCGCCCTTGTTAAGTATTAAAATAATGTTAATCTTACTTCTTTGCCAACTCAAATCTCGTTGGAGTTGCTTGTGTGGATAGCTCATGATAGAACACGCAAATGGGAAAAGGTCAAATCTCACTGACTCTATATATTTGAAGCTCTTGTTGTGTTCCAAAAACACAAGTCTAATTAAAACATCCTAGTACACTTTTTCATACTATAGTCTCATTATTTGATTCCAGAGAAAAGCTTCTATCTTCGTACTTCTCTGGGTTCCTTCTTAAAC